AAGATTGAAAAAAAAAAAAAAAAAAGAAAAAAGTTTTGTGTCTGGTATGGAAGGCTATGGTGAACATAGAAAGCAGACTGCATGTGGTAAAAAGGGCACTGTTACCACTATTATTTGGCATCATTGCCATATACTACCAAATCTAGAAGATAGCCAGTTACTGGTAACAATTTATTTTACAAATTTCTTTAGCACATTCAAATAATGTAATGCATTTTTTTAATATAGCCAAATATTATTCAAATATCATCTTCATATATCATTTTTATATTTTCTATATTTATATTTTACATATAAATAAAATATAATATATTATATTTTTATATTTATAAATATATGTATATTTATTATATTTATAATTATTGTAATATTCATTATTTTATGAATATTATTGGGTCCCTGGTGTCTAGTGGCTAAGGATCCTGTGCTCCCATCACCGCGGCCCGGGTTCGATTCCCAGAAAGGGAACCAACCCAGCCACTGCCGGTCCCAAGTCTGGATAAAATGGGAAGGTTGCATCAGGTAGGGCATCCGGTGTAAAACTTGTGCCAAATTAAAAATTGCACACCAATGATCCACTGTGGTGACCCCAATGCCAAGAGAACAACATTTTATGAATATTATTGAGTTATTATAACATATTAATGCTATGACCCTCGTTTCTTTTACATCAATAAACGTTTGTTAAAAATGAATAAACAAACTAATGAATACGCATGTGGTGTTTTGAATTCTGACAATTATTCTATGACTATATGCTTCCAACCTCATGCTATGTGACATTTATATGAATTTGAACAAACGAGTGATGATGGTTCATTTTTATTTGATTTTTTTGGAATGAATTTGGAAGAAAAAGTATGAATGCTTGCATTGACCTTTGTAATGATTCATAAAGCTTGTGACATGCAAACTTAAAAATTGTCAAGTGGAGATGCCACAGGCATCCATGGCCTGGAGTCCAAGAGAGAAAAAAATTGGCCGTGCTCTCTGGGATGGAGGGAAGCTGTTACACCCTCCCCTGTCAATCACAGTGGCACTAGCCAATTGTAGGCATCTGTGAGCTCACGGATGTGGAAGAGAGTGGATAGCAGTTTCCTGTGAGCGTGAAATGCTGCCCTGTGCTGCACCATGTCAAGAAGATGCAGTTGGCTGGCTTCAAGTCTCAGTGTTGGCCTTCACCCTCCTGGTTGGTAGTTATTGTATGATAGAGGACAGCTGGCTCATGCGTAGGAATTGGCCAGGAAAAAAAAATAGTGAGAAATTAGAGGAAAAAAGATTGCAAGTGTAGAACGATGTGAGCTTATGTTTGTGTAGCCAGACTTCAAATAAAATGTTGCCCAAAAAAATTTACATCTCTCCTCATCCCTTTAACACATTCAGATGGACGCTTCTCAGTAACCTTAATTGCTGTTCAGTAGTTTAATCAGCACTCATGGCTCCTCTTCATTTTGTTTATATCATGCACAATGAAGGTATTCAAATTCTCTCTCTCTCTCTCTCCCATTCAGCTACCTGTTTCCATAATGAAACACCTGCCACACTCACAACTCACATTAAACAGCTTACACAGTTATGAATTCATTAATAAAAGATAAATATAACCATTCATTTTTCTTTCTTTCTTTCTTTTATTCTTTTAAAGCTGGTGGGAGGAAACAGGCATGGAGAGACTTAATTAGTAACTAGAGAAAGGAGGGGACGAGGGGAAAGGTAGCGATAAAAAGGACAGAGGAAGACAAAAAAAGGAAAGAAATAGGGAGACATAGAAAAGAAAGAGGAGAGAGGATGAGGAAAGAAAGACCAGCACGATACAGAGAAGAGAGATAGGAGAAGAAGAGAAAGGAGGGGAAGAGGGGAGAAGAAATGAGTGATTGAGAATGAGAAGATGGGAAAAAAAGTGTGTGTGTGTGTAAGAGAGAGAGAGAGAGAGAGAGAGAGAGAGAGAGAAAGAGTAAGTTTTAAATTGTCAGTATATCCTTACTCCTCTCATTCTTCATGCTCTTCTTCTTATTAAATAATGTTAATTAAATATTATTATTATTAATAATATGTTTCTGTGTGCATCTGTTTTATATATGTGTGTCCCACTCATGGAAGTGAAGGATCAGTTTAGAAACAAGCAAGCACAAGGGAGACTAAAAGATGAGAGCAGGATAAAAGCAAAAGGAGGTGAACAGGAGTCTATCTTGTTTCCTGTGAAATGACCACCAGAGAGAGAATCACTTCTGTGGAATGAAAAAGGTTTCTGTCCTGAATGGAAACAGAAGAAATAATGCCTAAACATTAGATGGAGGTGGAAATAAATGTGTGTTTGAGTCTGTCTCTTATTTTGTGTATCTATCTGGTGCCCTTTTGGTTGTTGCTCCTCTTTAGAAAATTCCGCACAGGGGTCGAATACAGCAAAACAGATGTGGATAGATACACACAACCTTTCATATAGTTTACATTTTAGAAATTCCCAAGTGAAAAACTTTACTTTTTACTCCTTGCATTTTTATTTAGACAAATCTAAAAAGTGTCTTCTTCTCTCATTCAGCCAATGACTGTATGCTGTGCATCAATGGCTTGGGGTCAGTATAACATCCAGTTTCAATTTAGTGTCCAATTATTTATTGTTTATTTTAACATCCAATCAAGTTCATCAATGTATATCTATTAAGAATCATGCTTATTTGTCATGTGCAGTGACCTTCTCATGCTACACAATGTAGGTAGCGCTATAGCTATCCATGGATGGATACACCACTAGACTGGATGAGCAACCCTGGCCCTACCTAAGCACAATATTTTAATACGCTATATTTCAGTAAGCAAAGACTCATATAAAATGAGAGTCATGTCAACACCAGAATAGGCAATAGAATCCATTTCCCATGCTGCACTGCAGCCTACGTCCATAGCCGCTCCACACTACATCTCCCAATGGACATGCTCAAGCTCCCCTGACTTCGGATTGTACACACCTGATTCCAATCACCACCAATGCTATAAAAACAGACTCCTAACTTCCATTTACTATGAAATATTGCTCAGTGTGCCTTTTCCTGATGTGGCAAGCTGTTAGTGTTGTGATTGCTATTCCAGTATTTTTGATTTTGCTCTAATCCTTTGTTTTTGTGTGTGTGTGTGATTCTGGATTTCCTACTTTGTTCACTTTGCTCATCGCCTGACTTCCTGCCTGTTTTTTGACTCTGCCTTTGCTTTACGTTTTTTGAACTGTTTGCAACTGCATCCGCTTCACCACATTACAATGAGGTGTTGCCTTTGCCTTCCTAGAAGATATGAGATTTGTAAAAACATGTTGAGGCAATTTGAGATAAATGGCAGCAAGTCAAATTCTAGCTGATGGTAAATTTGCATAGTTGCTTGGAAACGAAAAAAAAAATAAATCATCTAACAGTTTAGATAAGCAATTTTACATGAAAACATTTTTGTGTCATTTCATCAGTTAAAAACATCTACTTTTTATATTTTAATACTTGAGTACATTTAGAAGTAGCAACATTTTCACCTGAAATTGAGTACATTTTGGCTGGATATTCTCACTTTTGATTTAATAAGATTTTGACTCATTATCTACACTTATTATTTATAATTTCTCAGTACAACTTTTAATCTCAGCTGATTAAAACTACTAAGATATCTAACCACCAACAGATGTGGACTTTGGAACAAGAAAACAGACATGAATACTAAGTCGATTTATTAATTTGTAAATTCCTAAATCCCATACACATACATGCAATGACATTTCATTAGACAGTGATCTACTATTGATCATGACAACCATCTTTCATTAGCTACATTTTGCATTTATGTAGGTAATTTGCATTGTGACAGTTTGCTCCCAGTTTGCTAAGCTAGTTTTTATTGTCAGAGTTATCAGCTGTCATTAGTTAGCTTTAGCTAATATTTGCTTAGTTCCTATGCAAAAGTCAACTAATTTACCATCAATAAACAAACTCAGTGTAGGATTTAAGGCATAGCCTTTCTTTCTCATTTATGATTATTTCTTGTACTTTAACCCTAGAGTTATTTCTTAAATTTAAGTGTTTGTAGTTTTATACGTGAATAAAGAATTTGAATGTATGTATATTTGGGCATTTACTTTCGTAAGGAATTTTTTTTGTATTTTTATCATTCCCTTTGGACAAAATTACCATAAAAAATGGTTCTATAAATGAATTTTATATATTTTGAGCCTGATTGGAATTGGTATTTGAATGTGGATTGTTCTTTAATTGCATAGACCCTGAGTGGTTTCTCAGCTTTGTCAGTTTATTCTCTACTGTATTGAAACTTCCAGTTGAACACATTTTTAAGCCTGTGTAATCCCCTCCATCATATTCTTATTTTCTCTCTTAATCTCTCTTGTTCTCTCTCAGTCTCTCTATTATTAAATTTTTCTGTCTTTCTCTTTTCTCTTTTGGTCTTTGGGAGACTTGAGTGCAAAAGACACATAAGTGGAGAAAGTTACTAATGTTCAGAGTTGGTTTATGCACATATTTTTCTGTGAGCTACATTCAGATTCTGCAAATTCATGCCTAGGTTGCCAGATTTCCAAGGGTTTTTTCAGTAGTGTTTAGACACACCACCTTTAAACAAAAGCACTTGTCTTATATACTATCCCGCAGGACTGAAGAAGCAGGTTTTTTTTTTTTTGCCATCAGATGTAATACAATTTAACATAAAAGCAAGATTTAAAAATAAATAAATAAATAAATAAATAAACAAACACTAAAAAAGACTAATGTATTGATATATGAATGGGAAGTTCAAATAATCCAAATCTAATAGGATTCTAGTATAGTTTCAATATATATTATTTCTGCATAATTAAGTCTTTATGAAAAAGTCTAATTTAGTTTAATTTCTCTCTTATTATTCAGCAGCTTATGAAATAGCACTTGCTCCAGCACATCCTTTTTTTTTTTTTTTTTTTTTTTAATCAATAGACTTAATGTAGCCACGAGTATTAAAGTAAAGTCATGAAACGGTAATGTTTCATAACACCAAACAGGTGAATACAATAAGTAACAGACCAATGAGAAGGGTGAAGACAGGACAAAAACAAAAACAAAAAAAAGTGAAGTCAGTGTGCACAATTCCAGTATTAACTCCTTAAAACTCTAAATACAGCTCAGAGTCATTATCTCACTCGCTTGTTTTCATTCTCCTTTCTACTCATTCTCTGTCTCACTCCCATTGCCACTTTCTCATTCTTCTTGTCTCTTTCCCTTTTTCTTTCCATTGTGTGTCTGATTTGATCACTCAGTTGCTTTGTCTCTTTACCACAATAGTGAAAGATAAAACTGACCTTCTGCCTCCTCTCACTCTCTTTTACCCAGTGCTTTCTGACTGACGAAGCAAGAAAGACACCGCCGTAGGTGTGTTTGTGTGTGTATGTTTTAGTGCCTATATAAAGTAAATATATATGTGTGGATGTGTG